TAAATAAAATAAATAAAATAAATAAAAAAATAAAACAAAACATAATGGTGTGGAGGGGATGCCTATAAGGGGAGAAGGGAGGCCATCCATAAAAAAAATAAGAAAAAAGAATTAAGAATACAGTAACCCTACAGAACAACTTATTCTCCATTTGACTGGCAGGAGTTAACGAGTTATGTTTAATATCTCACATCAACATTCTTCACACTAACAAAACTGCAGCGCACTCAATACACATTTCATTAAAACAAACTTATTGTGTGTTCTACTTTTGCTTATAAATAAAACCGATGTTGTCACAAATTGGAAAAAAGGCAGGGCAAGCAAAATAATAGCTTCTCCCAGGACGTCCACAAAGCGACTGTTTTTGTTTGAGAAGAGCTTTTGTCTCAGACATGGTGTGAGTTTTGCTTTAATTACCTGTTGCTTCTATTGAAAGTCCATCCATCCATCCATCCATCCATCCATCCATCCATCCATCCATCCATCCATCCATCCATCCATCTTTTACCCTTCCTTGCAGGGTCACGGGGGTCGCTGGTGTTTCACGTGTTTATCCACCTGTTTACTGTTTAGCGCTCTCCCTATTTAAAGTAAATATAAGTTAGTTGTAACTTGTCCAAGAATGGTGTCTTCTTCTTCTTTTCTTCTTCTTGTGGTGTTTAATGGCGGTTGGCAAAAAACTGAAGGTGTGCATTACCTCAACCTACTGGTATGGAGTGTGGTTCGACATGGTTTAATTTTAACTACTTGTCTTTATATCCTACTACTACTGTATTTCTTTTTACATTTCCAAAGTTATCTATTTGAGAGGGAAAAAATACAATAATTAATAATACTTCTTCTTTCCTTTTATTGGTGAACCATAAAAAGCTCAAAGGTGCAGTAAAGGATTTCTAGTTGAGAAACATGATAGTCACAAAGAATCAGCTGGCTGATTGATGACTAATTGCTGATTGACAACACCTGAGTGGACAAAACTAAAAGTGTGTATATAAACAACAGGATGACAGTTTGCTGCATGCTCAGCATCACTAAACCAGCTTTTTACTTTTCAGGGTGTACTAGAGCTGATCAAGAAGTAACAGCAAAAAATGGGTGACTGCTTTATTTTTTTAATATATAAATATAATGTTGTCAGTGCAATTGTGACGCAGCTTTTATGTGTAC